AAAAAAAAAAAAAAAAAAAAAAAAAAAAAAAAAAGCAACAACAAACTCATCTAGTTAAAAATTTGATTATCCAGGATAACGGCTCGCTATACTTTGCAACACTCATAATAGGGATTAATATTATATTTTTTGCAGGAGTCAAAGATGGAAAATAAGGATCCAAAAGACGAATTTCTCAGACAAAACAGCAGTGTTTATTCAAGTCAAGCAATCAACAACACCAGCAGAGAATATGTCTTTGCTCCTGTTAGTTACCTAATCAAACTTATCATATTGACTGCCATGCTCTCGTTTGGAGTGTATGGATTGATTGCAAACTCTCTGATCCTCTACTTCAAGCACAAGCAACACAGAAGAAGACGCCATACCATACGAAGACCATTCAGTCGATCCTTGACAGAATATTTCATTAACAGCCTTGCCTTGTCAGATTTGCTGTGTTGTCTTATCAGCCTTCCTTTGTATTCATCTGAAATGTTCATCGACTTTGTGAAAAGTGATTCTGTTTGCAGATTTACTAGATTGTTCAATTCAATGTTTGCTGTGATAACAATTCTCAATCTTTTAGTTATTGGTGTAGAGAGACATTTAACCATTTTTCATCCATTTTTTATTCTAAGTCGAAGAACAGCTAAAAAGATGGTTGCTGCAGCTTGGGTTTTAGGGGTTTTGTTTACTCTTGTTTCGGTTCCTGCCTACGGCCTCGTGTACTTTGAAGACATTGATAAGAACTACTATACCTTAGTTTGTAAATACGATAGCTCCATGCCATTATATCGAGCTTTGTTCATCACTTTTATCTCTATTTTATACATCGTGCCGAGTTTCATTTTAACTTTCATCAGCCTTTGTATTTTAAATCGTCAACGAGAAAGCCAACGTGCTGACGCTTTTCAAAACACTCGGAGGGCTTTGTCTCGGCTAAAAGTAACGAGGATGTTTGTATCCTTGATTTTTGCTTTTATCATTCCTTACATGGCTTTTTCAATGTACTCGAGTTTTAGAATGGTTTTCAAGGTTAATGTTTCATTCACTGCTGACTACATAGTTCGTCATATCAGTGTTTCTCTGATTTATGCTAACGGCTCAATAAGCGCAACCATCTTGATATATTATGAAAAGTTATACAACGATTTCTGGTCATGTTTTCAATCAAGATCATCAACCACAAATGATCAGTACAACAAAACTGTTCAAAGAAAAGATCCAGTTTATGACGAAAACGCCAGAAAGAACAGGACCTCAGCGGTTTAGAACTGCCTTAGCATTGGTAAAAGTATAAATGTATGTGAATATATATGACATTTATATATGTACTGCGGTTGTAATGTATAAAATTGAGCTGATCCTCGCAGTATATGAAGCAACTTATGCAGCTGCAATTGAAAGACTCAGAAAAAGGTCTTTGCTGCATAAGTTGCTTCATATACTTCGAAGATCAGCTCAATTTGATACAAAAGTATATATATATGTTTGGCTGTATTTTCCACAAATGCCAAGATATTTCAATCTTGTTTTCCATTGAGATAATGATCAAGTTAGAAGTGAGTTGAGTTTGAGTTAGCATTGAGTGTCTACTGAGTTAAGGAAGCATAATTGTTTTAGTGAGGAGCGCAAGAGGAATCTAGGGAGGGCCATTGTGTTTCTTTATAGAGATGAAAAGGGTGGATCATCCGCATTTTCATTCATACAACCCAAAGTTCTGTCACCGAAGTTACTGGACAAATTAACAAGGATAGAATCATCATGCATATTTATTATTTCTTTAAAAAGAAAGGGTGGGTTGTTGATTTTTCTCTTTTAGGCTATATTGCCAGTCTTAAAGCAATAGTCATGTTTCAGAAATTTTGCTTCTCGTGAATTAATTAGCGTTTTAGGACTAAATTGGATGATTGTCTCTAGAGAAGCATAGTTTCTTTCTCCCATTTGTGTTCATATTTCTTTCAAATAGCGCCTGCTCTTCATCTAGCCGCCGCTACGTGGCTCATTTCTCTCTAGAGAAACATAGTCTCTTTCTCCCATTTGTGTTCATATTTCTTTCAAAGAGCGAAATCATTTACTAAACTAAAACAGTAGATCCTTTTCGAGTTCCAAATTACCGCTGTGTTCCTTGACTACAGACTCATTTACTCAAGCTTGGCCTCGCATCAGTGTTTAAATATTCACAAATACCAACGATAAAGTAAAGAATGCACACAACTCCAACAAAGCAAACACTTTGAAGCTTGACGAAGCTTGACTGAGACACGTGAATTTTCTATACAAAATCGAGGCTAAGCCTGATTAAATGAGTCTTCTTGACTAATTTATATGGCAAGGAATTTTTCAATTTTGAAAATACTGAGTGAATAACTCAAATAAAATTAAGAGATCTAAACTTGGCTACCAAAATTTTCTTAATAATATAGCTCACAATCTAACGAATACTAAATCTCGAGGCTGGTGCTAGTTCATGGAAGTTTGCAGAGCAGATTTTCTTGGGATCAAACGCCCCTAAAGATAAAAACCGTTTTCATGGTGCGAAGGTACATTAAAAGCAACGGAACATCGATAGCACTCTCAATATCATGGCATATAGATTATAATAAAAAACAAGATTCGTTGTTGGATAGTACATGCGCCATAGTACGTATGTACATTCTCCTTTTAGACAGGTAATTTTGATTTGAAAAAGGTTATGCACACCACAATGTTTGAGTGATCGTTTACTAACAAATAAAAGTTCTGCTCTATTAAAATGTTAAATATTCTTCAATATCTTCATGCTTATTTGAGATTTAGGCGGGAAAACCTTGCAACGCGCGTCAATTTGCAAACAGAGCCTCAAATTTCTCTTCAATTCAATCGGTTTAGTCGAGGCAAAGGGATCTCCTACGAGACAGTCTGTTGAAGTCATACCCTTATTACAAGTAATTACTTGTGTTTAAACAGCTTCCGTAGAAGCTATATCAATTCTTTTCAAACTTATTTTTGTTTGAGGGGGATTAATTTAGTTGAAGACCTTAGTTTAGTTTGCATACAGCTTCTTTAGAAGCTATATGGTTTATGCACTTTACTTTTCTTCAAAGATAATTAATTCACTTGAACAATATTTGAGTTCAATATGTCTGTAAAAGTAGAATGTGCCTGGGCTAGAGTGTGCATTCGAGAAACCAAGAGCCTGTGTTCTATAAAAAAGGCCTTTAATGAGGGAAAGGCAAAGTTTGGGGCAAGGGTTTTGCATGAAAGGTATCAACTTTACAGTGAACATTTCAGTGGCCATGCAAAATTTAACCTAACGCAGTACGAATTTAACCGTGTTACGAGGAAAATAGATGAGCAAATTGCTAACTGGAGAAACAAAAAAGACAAGGAGCTGTATTTGTCTCAATTTTCGATGACAAACTGGTCTGATCAGGGAAAGAGGATGACCAGCGAAACACGAAAAGCACACTCGATAACA